TACACACACACACACACACACACACACACACACACACACACATATATATAAAAAATGTAAAATAGATATTTTTTATATATCTATATACTTTGCAAATAAATATTTAATACACAACAAAGAGTTCCCAAATAACTGTGGGTTATAATTAAAGAGACAGTACAGCACAAGTAGCTCCTGTTTAGACACTGCTGTCTCTTATCAAACCTTTGTACTGAGCCGTGATAAGGGGCAGGTCATTGCTCCAACTTATCAAACTCGTTTACTTATGTAAATTTCACCTTCATTTCTATTATTATATAGAATTGATGTATTGATTGCTGTGAATAATAGGTGTTCTTCAACCTAGTAAGGAACACGTAAGTAAGGAAAGCATCCTAAAGCTGGAGAGTGAGGGGCAGCACTATGAGCCAGTCGGGAACTACTGGATGACACAGTTCTACAAGTCTCTGGCAAAATGCTTACTGCAGGAGATATCAAGGGGTTGCTCCTTCATTGGACAGTCACAGGCTGGGGAAGTCTGGACCCAGGCTCAACTGTTTTACTCCTGAAGTGTTAACCGGGAGAAGGCTGTGGTTTATTAAGGGGGAATTCGATCAGGAGTCTGACTAATGTGTTTAAACTGTTTTAGTTGCCAGAAATGTTGCAGTTCAGCTCAGCCACTCTTGTAATACAGACACCTTGCAATAACAAGTTGGTGACCTCACTTTTCTCTATTGAAGATAGGTAGCAGAATTCGGTCACCTCCCCACCCCTAGCCTGCTGCTTAGTAATTGTGCATACCCCTTCCTGTAAGTTCCCTTTGTTAGAACAGCAGCATTGTGCAATGCAATAGAACCCCAGCTGGCTCACAGTGCTGATCATCCCTCTCCCAGTCCATGTTCTGGTACGCAACAGTTTATGGAGTGCTAACATAAAAGACAGATTTCAGTCAATTATACTAGTGTTTTATATACAGTTGTACATTATTTTAATGAGCACATCGCTGGATTAAAGGAAGGTTTTTTTACATTCAACTGTTCACTTTTGAAGCTCATTTTGTCTAGGGGCATAGGAATAAAGTGAAATACTTACCTTAGTCCCCGCTCCAGGAGGATCTCACCTCGCAGTATGAACTTTCCCCTGAAGCGGCTCCTCTGCCACTTGACAAGTCGCAGCTCTCCGATGTCATCACGTACAATGCATGACTGCGGGATTGTACGTAATGACATCGGAGAGCTGCGACTGGTCAAACAGCAGAGGAGCTGCTTCAGGGGAAAATTCATACTGTGAAGTGGGATCCTCCTGGAACAAATACAAAGGATGCGGAGGTCTTGACCACATATCTGGGAGTGTTGGAGAGTGAAGGAATTAGCTACGCATTTTGCCTTATTCGCTGCCCCCTAGACAAAATAAGCAGTTCAAATTTGTAGTGAGGATTGCCCCACTGCAACGTGATTTTTTATTTTTTTCTTATGACTGGAGTTCAGCATTAAGCATTTTTTTTTCCTTACAGAAAAAAGCAGGAGCAGGGATTTAGTACGGTCTTCCAACAAATGCACGGCCATATTCAATTATTGCTATTAAATGACCAGTAAACAAAACCTCCTTCCAAGATGTTACTGTATGTTTGCATTAGGTTTCCTCAAGTTCCTAAAGTTCCCATGCAATGCAATAGAGAAGGTGGAGATGGGATCCCTTACCTTACAGGTACTGCGGTCTGTGACACCCTCGCTGGTCAGTAAGATTTCTGGAACAGGACTAATCATTTCAGGAAGTTGCAGATACAGCTGCAGAAGAAAGTCTCGGCAATGCTTCCCCAAAGAACTAGAAAGATAAATGCTGCATTAGATGATGTATTCTGACCTCTCAAACCATGCACTTAAACTCTACAAATCTACTTAGAGGATCATGCAACAAATACATTTAACTTTTCAATTGAAATAAAACCATGCTGTATAAAGTAAAGCATGGAGTGACAGCAGACAGACTGAAAATCCAAGCAGCCTAACAACACACAAGTACAGATAGAAATCTGACAGCATCATTTTGTAGAACTTTCTGGCATTCTTGAAAGCCTCACCTTGTTCCCCAGCGTTTTACACAGTTGGTTAAATGTTCCGTCACCTTTCTGATGCTTTCCTGGTTCCCATGGCAACAGTTAATTAGTAATGGCAGACGAGACTGGATCAGGGGAAAGGAGGCCTCATCAGGCCCCTGACTCCTGGTTTCAGCTTCTGTGATAATGAGATCCACAAGGCAGATGAGCTCTGATGCCTTTAGATGAAGTACAAACTCCTTGCGCCCTTTCTAAATGGAAAAATGAGAACAAAATGCTTCTAATACAAGTCACAAGGAATTCTGGGGAGAAAAAGCCATTAGATAATGCTGTACCTGTGGTGTGCGCTGGTCTCTCCCTTGCCATATACGAGGAATGTGAACACATGCCCACAAGAAGTCTAGCGAGGCGGAGGGGTCAAACCTGACAGCAGAACAAATTAAAAATAAGATTTTTTTTTTATATAACTATACAGATCTAATACAAATGTTTAAAGCTGAAGAAGTTTAATCTGCTTATATTTTGCCTTCTCTGGTTCCAACCCCCTCCCCCCCACCCCCCCACATACTAACAACATTTTAAACATCCCCGGATTTCATTACATACCTTATTCTAGACCCAGGGACATCACTGAGTCTCTGTGCTTCGCTATTCAATGCTGGCAGTTCATGGCTAATGGGAGGGGTGCGGTACATAGCCTCCCAAAGACAGAAAACCCGCATGTGATGCTGAGTCTCCATGATAAAAACGAGTGAAATCCAATAAGTGAAAGGGGCGGGCCAGGAAAATTAACATTGGGGAGAAAAGAGCTAGATGGTGCGGGACATCTTCCAGCCAGGAAATGAGGCAGGCTCGACCTGACGTGCTACAACTTCTCATTCACATTGTTAGAGGTTCACAGTGTGCAGTGAAATCAGGGATCAGAATAAGCAATTTGATTTAGGTCAGCTTTAATCACTATGTGAGCAAGCTGTCAGTAAAAAATAAAAAGCACTATATACCAAACTCTATACCTATACTAAACAAAGTAACACAATATAGACTTTTATACAAGACCAGATTCTAGATTAAATGTTCTAAAGTAGTTCTTCACACAAAGTCTGTTGCAATACAATGGCACATTTGTATGCACTTGCTCATCTTTAAGCCTGTTAAACAAGAAACAAACTGGAAAAGGGTAACCAATCCACCTTAAAAAATACTACAATAACCTTATCACTAGGGATGCACGATACTAGTTTCGGTGCCAATACCGAGTGTTTGGGTGAGTACTTGCCCAAATGCTCCAATACCTTCCCCGATACCGGAATTTCCGGTCAGAGGAAGATTTCCTCAGACCGGCCGTGCCATAGAGGAACATGGAGCCAGCTTCCCGTGCGATCAGGAAGCCGGGTGGCGACTAATAGCCCGCCTCCTGATCGGCCAAATCAGCATCAAGCCAGCTGGCTCCTTGCTAATTGGCTGGGAAGCTGGCTTTCCAGACAATCAGCATGGGGCCAGCTTCCCAGCCAATCAAGAAGCTGAGAGGCAGGTCATTACATGCCGTCCGGGTTCCTGATTGGCCAGGAAGCCGGCTCGGTGCTGATTGGTTGGGAAGTCGGTTTCCCGGCCAAACAACATGGAACCGGCTTCCTGGGCAATCAGGAAGGCAGGCGGCATGCGATTAGGCTGCCTCACGGCTTCCTAATTCCCGGGGAAGCCGGCTCCATGTCTGCGGAAGCACCGGTATCGATGAGTACCGAAAGCAAAATATCCGTACTCGATACCAAAAAAACGGTATTGGTGCATCCCTACTTATCACACCAAGATCACTGGAGGACATAGACATCTGGGGCTATATATCCTGTCTACAGGGGGGCAGGGATGCTGAAGAGGCACTCATCCCCCATGGGCTATACCTCCTAATTACACCTTAGATAGAATAAGGGCCCGTTCACACCAGATGCGTTGCGTGGCATGGCAATGCCCACGCTCCGGTCCAGTGCGAGCGCAAAAAATAGTGGTTGTACTATTTCATGCGATCACACCAGACCGGAATACCAATACCAAAACCAGAACGCAGGGAGCCGGACAGTATGCAATCCAGTGCGTTCCAGCAGCTAACCGTACTGGAACACAGCTGAATTGGTGTGAATGGGCCCTTAAATCGGAATCCCAGCATTACTTTTAGTCTTGCACAGTTGTATAGGTTCCTTTCCTGTACTGAAAATGCTTACCCTGATTTCTCTGCACACTGTGAGCTTCTTGCAATGAGATAAGGAGGGGTATGAAGGAACCAAGAAAGACAAAATGCAAGTCTAAACTTCAGTATTAAACTGTGCTTAGAGGACTGGCATTCAGCCACTGACAAAGGGAAGTTTCCATAGGGAATTGTATTTTATGATTTTAACAGTTGGTGGTAAGTGAATTACGCAGCTGCAGAGCTTACTTCCAGTACAAATTTGGAGTTACTACATAAAAAATGAGCAGAAAAAAAAAAAGTATGAAATAAACTAAACTGAAAAGACCAAGACATTCACCTCTGCTCTCGATGTTTGCTTAGTAATATAGCAATACACTGGTGCAATGTGCTCCAATTTGACTGATGGGTTAGAAGGGCCAGAAGATAGGGTCGGAAAGAAAGTGACTGTGGTCCAGTTGAACCTTTGACCTGAGGGCAGAGAGAGTAAACAGTATGTGAGCCTCATCATTACCAAATTGATAAAAACCTCAACAACATCACATTCAAGTCTATTCTTCCCTTTTCCTAAATCATCCCAAGTAGAACCTCAGCCTTACTTGTTCTGTCTCTGGTGCTTGGTAGAAAACTGTGCTGATTTCATTTTTACCCTTTCCCCTTCCCACTGCATGCCTCTGAATTTTCATTAAAGGGCAGTGCGGCAGGCACACCTTCTGTTGGAAGACACCCAGTCCTCCAGAAGACCCATTGACTGCCTTAGGCACGCTCCATGGGCTTTAGGGGGTGTCCTATGTGGTGCACTGCTGTAAGTCAGTTTTATCTTGATGGGACCATTACTGCAGAGTCCACTTCCATTGCACATTGAATCCTAGAACTGCAGTTAACAATATACTGTCAGTTGTTGTGTTGCTCTCTGTTTGTTCATGCCGTGTTTCTCAGGGAGAAGAACTGACTTGCAGTATTCTTTATTGCATTAGGTCATAATGTGTGTTCTACTTTCCACTTATACAGAAGCAGTAAGGAGTATGGGAGGGACAATCAGACTACATGTATAAAAATATACATAGCTGCAGAATTGAATTTCCGTATTAATAAAACAAAAATAGAGCTCAAGATTGCCTGTGATCATCCTTACTGCATCTACAATATACAAGAACAGAACACACACCACAAATATTCTGAATCCTTAAGACCCCAATCCACAACAAAATTTGATTGGCGTGGAGAATATTACACAGGTCATACACTATGCCATATTCCAGTAATATGACTGATTATAGAGTCCCTAGAGACACTAGAACAATGTACAGTCTTGGCGAGCTTAAATTAACCCATATAAAAGCATTTCTGATTTTCTCATTATGGACCATCAGACAGCCAGGGCTGCAACCAACTAATCAATTAATCGATAATGAGAATAGTGGTCCAACCAACTAATCGATTAATCCATAATGAGAATAGTGGTCAACTATTCTCATTATTGATTCGTTAGTTGGATCCCCTGGCTCTCTCCTCCATTCTAGGAGGAGGGCACAGCAAGGAGTGGGCGGGAGCAATAGCCAGCCTGCTATTGCCATTTGAAATGGCCACTAGCAGGCTGGCTATTGCACCCGCCCACTACCTGCTGCATTTACATTCAGCTGCCGTCTGCGGAATCTTGCCACTGGCAGCTGTCAGTCCCTGGCTGAAGCTACTCAAGTGCCATGTGCTTACAATACAATTATTTTAAAAAAAAACTAAAACATAAAAGGGTAGGAAAAAAAGTCATTTTTGGTTTCAGCCTGACAAATTCTGCTGCAGGAGGTGTGTTACAGTGCCATTCATTTCAATGGCACCCCAAACACGCCTTCCACCCAAAGTGTGATCGCCCGCACTGGCACAGTACCGCAATGCCATGCATTCCAGTGCAGTGTGATTGGCAAAAATGCAGTTTTTTAAAAAAAATCCCTATTAAACTTTATGTTTGTAACACTGCATTTGTGTATTTTATTTTAAATTAAGGATGGTATTTAAATTTTTTTTATCCGAATAATTGAATAAATAATCAGCCAACTAATCGATTATGAAAATAATCATTAGTTGCAGGCCTACAGACAGCTGAACAAGTGTTTAACCCTAAAGATTGATCTCACTGGACATGACATGTTCAGCAATCTGATGATCGGGCCCATGTAAAACAAGCCATTAAGTACATACATACTATTCTTTCAGATAAAGGGATCCGCATACATTTCCTATGAAGCACTGCCTGAAATGCTCCCTATGTGTACTTTATTATCCAATAATCCCATGGTGCGTCCCCATGAACCAGAACCACCAGCCATTGCCGATGAAACTCAGTAGACTGAAACAAAACTATGCACAAAACAAGTGTTCTGGTTCTGCAAAGGCCAAATTATATTTCATTATTTGTAGGGTTGCACAGATACTTTTCGAGTACCAGTGCAGATACTTGGCATTTTATGAGAACTACCAGGGTTGCAGCTGGGACCTGGCTCTGGCGCTCCACCACTGTCCTGAAATCATTAGTCTGTATTGTTTTAGAAAAACTGTCACATGACAATAAACAAAAATGTATCAGTACTCGTACTTGTAAGTACTCGCCAAGAACCAGTACTCGTACTCGCAAAACTGGTATCTGTGCTTCCCTTTATTTATATTTATAAAAACAAAATCGTACATTAAAACAGAGATGTACAAATCCCAGGAGCTCCGTGTGCTCCTTACCAATGACAGCTGCGTCCTAACTTTTGAATTTTTCTCTAGTGTAGTCTTGGAGCTCAAAAGTATCGGTACATGTACTCGTACTTGTACTGAGTACTGTACTTGGTATCTGTGCAACCCTAATTATTTGGTAAATGCTGGAAAGTTAAAGTTTTAATAAAGTCAAACTATTTTTGAATGCTGAATAAATCACCCACGATGGATGCTGCTCCTGTAGAAACAGCTGGTCCCTAAGCGCTGGCCCTGATATCCTGTTTTACGGTGGCTCCATTCCTTTGCAAGGTTCCTATGGACCCTCCCTTTTGTGTGTGCTAGTATGCAGACCTCGGGGTATATGCACTGTTCTCAGGAAGGGGGTGAACATTGAGCAAACAAAAACAGTTACTCCAGCCTAAGATTATACCAACTAACGAGGAAAATGAAGACTCAGGAGTAGATGGCAGTATTAGGAAAACAACATCTTTAGGTGACATAATTCCCTTTCTGGTCAGTGTACAAGGGCAGGGCAGTACCCAGAGGCATGCAACGTCTCCAAATGAATGGAGACAATAAAGATCCCATTTAGAACAGGGTTTCCTTTAATGAGTGCAACTTTTCAAATGCAGCATTCACCCCACTCAAATACTCTCTCTTCATTAACAGTTTACATTAGGTCAAATTTCCACATACCTTGTTCCATGAGAATAACAACTTCTGCTGCAGGTCCGGACAGCTGCAAATCACTTCCGGATCTAACAAGTCAAGCCAGTCAATGAGGAGACCTGAAGAAGGGTTGGTACGAGCTGCTTCGGAGCTGTAGAGATACGTTAACAATAAAATCTCTTCTCCAGAGTTTAAAGAGGAACTGTACTATAAAAGCCATGTCCAAATGACTAGTCACCAGTATTGCCTAGGTTCTCCCGGAAACTGACCTATTCCTCAGAGCTGACTTTTTATGCATGGTCAGTACTGTGCGTTTTCAGTGGAGATGGCCATGTCCGTAGAGGCAGGGCTTTGCTTCCTTATATCAGAGACTATAGTAAGGAGAGCGGTCAGCAGAACAGTGGTGACATCACCAAATCTCTCTTCAAATCTCCTGAGACTATCAGTCAGATGCCGGAGTGACAGAGATTTCACACAGCACATATACAACTATGAGGCTGTAGGGCACAGGAGAGCCTAAGTACACATGTATACCAGGAAGTGCACTGATATTAGGGAGAATCTCAAGACAAAAGGTCATTTTTTTAAAGTACTGCTTAAACACAATAAACATTTCTAAATGTTCCCTACAATAAAGCAAAGGTTTACTTTTTGAGTTTAGTTCCACTTTAAGCATTTACATTTATTTAAATAGCAAAACAGTGCAAAAAATGCTACTTAAGTTATCTACCTGAAAAAACAAATGATTGAAGAAGTATTATGAGCGAATACCTGATGAATATTGAGTACACATGTAAGAAATGAAGACAAGCCGGTAGACAGTCATTTATTTTGAAGCATTTAAAGGATAAGTGCACCCATATGTTTTGCCCTCTGACCTATCTACTCCACTCCCTTCCCACTTAAATAGAATATATCGCCTTTATGCTGCTACAAGAGTCAAAACACTGCATGCAATGATCACCATTATTTCAGAAAACTGTCAATATATAGAGACAGCTGTGTTCACTCTAGACAATAATGGCACCAATGGAGAAAAGGTCTACTACTGTGTGGCCAGGTTGCAACTATACCTCAGTGGAGGGAACAGCACTTATAAGGCTGTTTATTGGAGTATAAAACAACTCAAAGAAGAATTTGCACTCAAAGCAAGGTTCACCTCTTAAGTGTGCTTGCTTAAACCCCAAATTATCATCTGTAGGTTAAATCACCTGTAGGTTTCGAAAAAAAGTTAGATAATATACTTCCCTTTACCCTGTATGCCGTAGTGAATGGGATGACGTCACCACACTGCTGATGTAGGGCTGCACCTAGCGATTATTTTCAGAATCGATAGTTCCTCGATTATTTTCATAATCGATTGGTTGCATAAAAAAAAATCTCTCTCTCGTTGCCAACCATTCTCATAATCGATTATTATCGATTTAATCCATTAGTTGTTGCAGCCTTATACCGATGAGATCCCAGGGAATGCGGAGTACTTCAAATCATGTGAGCAGATGCTGCAGCACAGTGCAGGATCATTTTCTCACAAGATATGGACTACTCAACATTGCCTAGGTGAAATGTCCACCATAAAGTAAAAGTATAGCCAGATCCACACAACTGATATTTAATCCATTTGCACTCATTGAAAATATGAAGGAAGGGGGCAGCACTTCTGTATTATACACTGCTGTCAATACAATACAGACAGCTTACAGATAGATGTACACAGTATGACTCCATAAGTTAGCTGCTGTCGCCTCACTATGTAACTGCTGGGGCAGATCCATGACCAAGCTGTATTGCTGTAACTGTCGTGGTAAAACCTGAGGTCAGGGAACTGTGCTCTCTGGGAGGGATAGGTGGTCTCAGAAATGTCATAACACAATTACACATCCTTTGATAGGTAAAGCAGTTCACAGCTATGTATTCCAACCTCAAATAGCTAGTGTATTTGCCTATAGTTTGCCTTTAACACAAAATTATTGAGTGACTCCCGAGTGCAACAACACCATCAGAATATTCAATTAGGCAATTGAAGCAATTTAGACAATTTAAAAGGAGGATGTACCTGCAGCCCTCTTTTTTTACTAGTGTATCTTCCCTTTCCTGCAGTAGTAGAGAACTCACAACAGCAACCGGGCCAGGAAATCGAGATGTGGTTTCTACAGTGACCGAGAGGAGGACAGTCAGGAACTCTTCTAGGTAAGGAGATTTGGCTTCAATCAGACCTTGAAGAACTAGGGATAGAAAAAATAAAAGATCATGAATGAAATGACACTGAAATAAAGAGAATTTATACCAAGAAATGTAATGTCTGATTATAGGAAAATAGAAATAGTATTTATTGGTTGCACAGTGATCAGTGATACCAGAGGGAGGGTTCCAGCAGAAGATTCTGAAAATCAAAGTGTGTATCTAGGACAGGCCTGCACGGAGAATTTTAGAGGCTTATTTGGATGCTTGATCTGAACAAAGAATACATAAAGCAGGGGTGTGGACATTTTTGAAAAAAACTACTCGTCCAAGGACTAAAGTGGGGGCCGAATCTGTGATAGCATTTGGAGGTGACAGGTACTCTTTATTGACCCTGTCACCTCCAACACAGGAGTTCTAGCACAGCACTGTGCTAGGACTCCTGTAAAAGGAACGAGCAGCGGCCGCCAGGGACAGAGCCAGTCACTGGTCCATCACTACTCCACGCCCCCCGCTCCGTCCCCGCTCTCAACGCTCCATGCTCCGTCGCCGCTCTCAGCGCTCCGTCCCCCGCTCTCAGCGCTCCACGCTCCGTCCACGCCCCCCGCTCGCAGCGCCAGAACACCAGTGTTCTTGTCACTTCCTGTGATCCTGCTTGCTAATCCCATATGATGCATGTAAAGGAGAGGAACATAAGCAGACATGTCTGAAGTGCAGCCTGGGTGGCTATCGTGGCTCCCTTCAAAGACTCAAATGAGAAGAAAAAGTAGCCACACATGGAAAGGAAGTGTGATTGACAGGATTACCAGGTGAAAATGAAAACTGAAGACGTCACATCTAAGGACTGGTATGTTGCTATATATACACACATAGGGTTTTTTTTGCATATAGATACGCTTTAATTACTTACTACTGCATTTTCAATGTCCCTATTGCAGATTTTTCGCTGGCTTACTGTATGGCGATTTCATTATTGGCAGGTAAGGAAGTGCAGGAATTGAGGAAACTCTCTCCAACAGAGCCACAGATAGCAGTAAAAACCTGACAGAGTTCAAATCTTTCCCCACTCTATCCAGAACAAGGCTTGACATAAACATTAAATAAATATTAATAAAGTCCTAACCTAATTACATCAGCATTTAACACACAGTTCACATTCAATGGCTGTACTATTACTTGGATGTTGGAGGAATCAATAGCTGACACTTTTTAAAAGGGATTTTTCACAGCCACCAAGAAAGTGAATAACAACTTTATTCTTATGAGCTATGGGGTTGATCCTGCCTCCTGTATACCTGGCAGCAGGTGTTACAGTGCCACTTGATTTAAGTGGGCTACTAAATCTGAGGTTGTGGCACAATAAATCAACCAGAACAAGAGCCAGTTTGACCAGTCTGTTCTTGAGTCACCTCATTAGTAGCATATTGACTGCAATGTGTTGCTAATGAAGGGGCTGCCAACACGTGGTCAAGAGTCATTATCAACAGATTATAATCACCAGCATATTTCAGCATTCAATTAAAAAAAGACAGTCACACCATTAAAGGTGCCCATACACCTTACAACCATCGCAAGACTTTTGTCTTGCGATGGTTGTAAGGTCATTAAAAAAACGTACAATCTGCCCATCTTGGACAGGCAGATTGTACTTGTGATAATCGCAAGCCCGCTCCGCTGAGGGGCGGGCTTCCGATGACCGCAATGCTCAACGGGCAGTGTGCGCTTGCACACACCGGCCCGTGCGGCAATTATCTTACGAGCATGCCACAAACGTTGTCTTAAGAACATGTTAGAAAACCAGCCGAGAATCGTGCGATTTTCGGCTGGTTTTCTAACATATTCGTAAGACAAAAGTTGCGCGACCGTACAGTAGAAACGGTCGCACGCCTTACACACACCTTGCGATTATCGTACGATCGCGGGATTTCCCGCGATTATCGGAACGATAAATCGCAAGGTGTGTGGGCAGTCACCTTTACAGTACAGGGGCACATTGCTGTCTGTGGATTAGTGGTGAACTACAGGAACATATCCAGGTTCATGGAGAGACATATGCCGTTTTTTCTGATAACACATATGACTTGTAGGATTTAGGGAATCAGACATTTCCGGGTATTTAGTACCCTTTTTTAGTATTAATTTTAACAACAATCTTCCCATACGGTTATATGTCCATTTAACGTATCTTAGGCATGGTATTACCTGTAAAAGCCTCCCTTTGTGTAGACCTCCAAAAGCCCTGAGACAGCTGGGGAGCCCTGCCATCTTGGATGTTATGGTAGCAGCCCCAGCAGACTCAGAGAGGTCACTCAAGTGATATATTATTCCCCTTTGCTTCTGCCCTGCACCTGGATAAAGGTTTATGTAGGAAGATGAGGGGTGGAGGAGGCCAGAACAGACAGTCCCAGAAGAGAGCAAAGGGACCAGCTTAGAGGAGCAACAAGCAAACCTTCTGAAGCTATACAAAAGGCAAAGAGGTGGACTGGGGGTGTATGTTAAACTGAGGTACAGTTTAGAGCGGGGAGACAGTCTGTAGGTGCCATTATGAATGGCCTGACCACAGTTGACACATGCATTGTACACAGATCTCAGGGTCCAGGTGGTTGTGCAAACACTGTACAACCTGTGGCAGAAAAGGAAGATCCTATCCAACAAACATCATTCTCTTCCCATACCAGTAAAACAGGCAAAAGGAAAAATAGCTTCTTTTTAACACAGTAAGACAATCACAGAACAGAAATTACAACTGCTCACCCTTGCTGATGAGTTCAGGTTCCACATTGCAATTATCCCCAGATTTCAGAGTTGTAATAATGGCACACAGAGTAGAGTTGATCACATCTGGGTCACGCCGGAAGGCCAGAGCTTCTGCCAAGTGCAAAAACCCACTGCGAACTATGGAAGCAAGATCATTACAGAAAAGGCTGTCAGTGTCTAGAAAGTGTCCCATTCCCTCCTACTAAGAAAACAGTGATAACTAAGTAAAGGCGCAGCACACATTTTAAAATATGCCAGCCATCAATTATTAAATCACCAACTACGGTTTCTCTAACATTAAACTGAATCTTGCAGACAGCTCTGCACAGTGTTAAAGGATCTCCTCACCATCACTGATCCGACGCTTGGATGAATACTGTGCAGCAAAGGATTTGAGCTGTGCTTGCAGTGGACCCTCCTCAATACCTGGGCTGTCCAGCCACTGTAACATCTGCATGAGCACTTTGAAGAAGAGTGATGAAAATGCAGTATCCTGGGGGACACAACGCTGTAGACAGAACAGGAATGCATAATTCTGTATTAGAGAATGCTTTGCCAACAAGCATGAGATCTCATACTTCCACAAATAAAATTGTTTTTGTTACGCCCCCTAGTGGAGAACTCTAACTTTACAATGTATTACAAGATCTGTTTAGTAAAGTAATACTGTATATATCTATGTAAATATATAATGTATATATGTGTGTATACAGAATACAGAGCTACATTCATTTGCTCTCTCATAATTGCCTAGAGTTCAGCTGTTTGCCATTTATGAATAAACACGTTTCATTGGCATTATTCCGTGTGCAGACCAGTGCTGTTTTCTGCTTTGATGGGTGTAGTAAACTACTGTCAGACACTGGAGATTGTAAAGATGGTGGCCGGGTCCCAGGAGTCAGTGGTATTATACAGTATGTAATTATTGACCACAAAAGGTTAGAAGTGTAAAGTGACAGAGGCGTAGAGAAATAGGATTGCTTCCTTCAAGTGTCAGAAATATTTTTTTTTGCTGTGACTTTCTCACCTGGTACTGATAGAGCTGTCTCATTAACGGGCAAGATATAAAATGGTTCCTGTGCATAGCCAACACCAGGGCTCCGCTGTGAGGTGAACTGAGCAGAGCCGCTACTGCCTGGAGCAGTCGCACTGCAATTCCAGTCAACTGAGTGTTTCCCTGTCGGATACGAGCCAACTCCTGACCCAGGGCTTGCTGTAGGGCCAGTGATATAGGTCTCGGGTTGTAGTTCTGCCATCGGGGGTCTGCATTTAGAGGGAAAAGCTGAAAGAGAAGAGACCATATGAAGACTGCAGAATTACAGAGAAAAAAAACGCAATATTGGAATGTAACGGATCAATATATATGAGTGACGCTCTGGAAGTAAAAGGGTTACAACCTATCAGTTCAGAATTTAAGTAAGAACTTAGGTCTGAGATTATATAGTTGGATGCCATGAAGTTAGAATGCTTTTTGATCAAGTGAATACAATAGCTGGCAGGGGATATTTCTCCATCCATGTTGTTTAATGTGGATAGAGGAATTTATTGATGCCCTACATGCTGAAAGAGAGACATCTTAATTTGTATGGCCAGAATTATAATTAGAGCTACAATAAAAGCAGATATTTCATGTCCATATTTATACAGCATCAACATAGAGTATTACCCTGTAATGTACAAAGAACCATTCAACCAAGGTGTCCACAATCTAAATGCCTCTACTACAGTCAAGCGCACAAAAGGGGGCAATTTGGGAGGAAGTTGATTTACTTACCAGAGCATCGTAACCACTGAAAGTCTATGCATACATGGTAAGAACATGCAAACGCTACAAAACGTGAGATTTAGCGCCAAACTTTCCAGAAAATCAGTCCACTCAGAAGTATCTTGTCATGGCTCCTGATCACCTACATTCATCAACAATAGTACCTTCACGCAAGGTTTATCCTTACCTTACACAAACAATTTTCAGCCTCCTGGCTATGGAGTTGGCCAGCTTGGGTTGTACAGGCTCTCTGGCCAGCTTGGGTTGTACAGGCTCTCTTCCTATTCGAGTATCATTCCTGTCTCGCTTCCAGACTGTTACCCACTCTCTTTTTTTATCAAACCTCAGCCTGGTCAAAGCACCTGTCTATAGGGCCACACTGGCATGGACCATTTGCTCCATGGTATCCACATGATCTGTGCTTGATCAGCTTCATTGAGCTGCAAAGGTGACATTAGGGTCCAATAGACCCCAATGTCTCCTTAATGAGGACCTGTCACCAACAAAATGGTGTATGTGATAGCAGTAAAGTTGAGTGGATAATAAACAAAAGAAAAAAAAAAAAAGTTTAAAAAAAGTAAAATATATTTAATAAAAAAAAGCTCCTGAGCACATGGCCTTAGGAATATAGGAATGGAAGCTGTTGCACCTACATTTGAAGATGGCATTTGCGGCACACATGTTGGGTATCGTCATGCATGTTTTAGAGAGAGCAATAATTATAGAGCCATTATCTAGTTATTTCAAAACTGACATGTAGAGGGGTTTAAATTGTCACCTACAGACAATCTGGGGTACTAAAGTTTTTGCCATTTCATGGGCGCATGTAATGTTGAGGACGACATGTTTGGTATCTGTTTACTCATCTTTTATATGTCTCCCAAAAAATTGGGTATTATATTGTGTTTGTGACCATTTAAATTCATTTGAATGCATTTTTTTTAACTGAAAACTTGGGTTCGGTAAACTGTGCTAATATTGCGTGACATAAAAAATTGCAACTTCCACTATTAGGTCTCGTTCACACCTAGGCGTATTGCATATGCGCGTCTGTCGCGCGTTTTTTTACCGCCATTCGCGGTAAACAGGTCGCGCGACCGTCGCGCGTTTCCGAAGGCTACTTGGCTGTATCCCAATGGAAGCGCGCAACAAAAAACGGCCCAAAGTAGTACCTTTTCAGGCGTGGGCCGTTTTGTAGCGCGTTAGGGACGGGCAGAAATACGCCAAGGTGGGAACGAGACCATTGAATACAATGGGATTTATATTTTTGAGCGTTTTGTAGAGCGTTCGTCGAGCGTAGAACGCACTACAAAACGTTCAGGTGTGAACGAGGGCTTATTTTCTACAGGGCCTCTGCTTCCAGTAGATATATAATTTAAGGAGCCTTAATAAAGTTTCAGGCCTAAAATGTGCATTGTAATGTGTGTGCTCTGGCAGAGAGAAAATTAAACTAAGCTTATGTGCCGACTACGGTCACTGGACGAATGTAAATATTGAATGTAAAAACTTAATATAAAACTCTAAATCTCATAATATATACCCAGAGAATAGCAACAAACTGCAGATGTGATCTACTTTGATTTAAAAAAAAACACGAAACAGCAAGTAAATAATACAACTGAACATAACACAGCATTTTACCTGCAGGAACATTCCAGCTAAGTCATCTTCTGGGCCTAACACTGGGATCTGGGTGAGACCCCTTGGCCGTACCTGTCCTTGGGGCGTTTCACTGCTTGGCTTCCTTTTTACCACATCAGCGCTGTCTGTAAATTTAAAGAACAAAATGAATAATATATCATCAATGCAGGGCAGTCCAAAATATAATGAAGCCACTAGATGTAAAACCAATCCACCAGTAAAGAACTGTCTCTAAATTTTAGCAAACGAGATCTGCAGAATGGGAGCATACAGTCTCCTTTTCTGACTGAGGACACTGAGATGTGCTTGTTTCATCACTGCTTACACAGCTCTGTCCGAAGCAAAATCCACAAAGCTCAGCACTGAGCTCCTCTATGGTGAGATTACAAGCACCCTGTTTATTATAAATGTATCTCTAAAAGGAGCACTTTAGTAAAATATGCAATGTAGAAACCCCTGCAAAATGGTTGAAACATATCGGCCATCAGTTTGCTGTTTAATGGGAAAAAAGTTTTGTTTATAATGACTTTTACCTCGTCTGGGTGGTATTGAGGCAGTCAGCAAGCTATGGAAAGTCTGCCCGCCTGTGGCACCTCTTTCATGCTGAACCTCCACTAGATGTGCCATGTAATCTGCCAAAAAGGGAAAAAAGTTACTTAAATGAAGGAGACATAATGCTAGGCAATACATATCTGGATGTCCATACATCATACTGATTACACAATAAAAAAAACACAAAAATAGAACAAAATCAATAACAAGACTAATACTTACTTTTATCCATTATATTTTGCTCCAAGGCTTGAGGCTCATGGGAAACAGCCTGGTCCAAGTATATTAGTAATTTGCTCATACTGGACACTGGGATGCCAAAAGATTGAACGAACAGTAGTAGCTGCTGTGGCTCCAAATCTTGTAGAGCTGAAAGTAAAAGCATCATAAGCAAAAGTGTGTTTCATGTATCTTACATAGACCCTGTCATCAACTTCAAAAATGATGGTAAAAGCAAAGAAAAAACAAGAATTTTCCTTGCAATGTGCCTTTGAACATTGCAAGGAAAATTCACTTTGAACTTGACTATGCCAGGAGAGTCAATTCCCTAACATCCCTCGATCCTTCCAAGTCAAAGCCTTTGTCTCTTCTGGGAGTGCTTAATTACTGACTGCGGGGAATATTAGTGTGTCCCTTGAGTGTCTGGGGCTGCTGACATCACATACAAGAAGGCAGCACCCAGCAGCAGTCTCAGGGCTTTTGGATGTCTACATTAGTGAGGTTTTTTTTTTATTGTAAACATGCATAAAATACATTAAGGGCCCAGTCACGCAATATCCAGTACGTTTCGAGCCTGGAACGCACTGGATTGCATAGATCTAGGGGGGTGTGGTGGTGCCATTCAGGTCAATGGCACCGCAGGCACGCCCCCCGCCCCGGGTGTGAACGACACCGCCACAATTCGAGGTACAGGAATGCCCTCCATTCTGGTGCATGCACTATTTTTTCCTCTCACACTGCACTGCACTGCACTGGAACAGAGGGCATTCATTCAGGAGTGAATAGGATAATAGACTGGTCACTGCTGCTCTCTTACTCTGTGCTGGGTGGCTGATTTTGTATCCACCCCATCGCTGTGTTGTGCAGAGCTGGGGGTGGGACCCAGAGTGGGTCCCACCCCCAGCTCTGCACAACACAGCGATGATATCATTGCTAAATTTACAAGGTAATATCTGCATTTGCAAAGGCATTTGGTGCACACAAAGTGAACTCAAACCCTTTGGAGCTATGGAGGAATACATTTAAATGAAAGCTTTCGTGGCTGGAGTTTAGCTGTAAAATAAAACAACTGAGTGATGGTGGAAACATTCACAATTCACTCTTCCAGAAATCATCATATTAGAAATAAACACAATGCATTCATAAATACAGCAAACTATTTTGTTTTTCTACAAATGCTTGGGCAACTCAGATGTCATTCCACAGGTATCGTTAGGTCAGACATGGTAAAATGTAAGCTCTAGTCTAACTAGATAATTGTATTACGTTGCTAGAAAAGGCAGCAACTTACCAGCATCGACAAGACGTGGGACCTCAGAGCGAATCATTCGGAGTTTCAGCCAATCAGGGAGCAGCAAAGCTTCTTCTGAAGTGTCCACCAGAAATGCAGTTGGAAGAGGCTTCTTTTCAGGAAACCAGATGTCCAGCAACGCAAAGAAGTCATTGTGACCTGTCATGAAAATGGTGTACACTTCTTCAGTTTCTCTTGGGACCACATTCATTTTGGAAAAGGAAAGTAAAACTATGGCCTCCTATTAAAAAATAATATGTGCTGCAAAATCCAACATATACCTGTTGATCCTGCCAGTAAAGTCCACCAAATACAGCTTTCTGTTATGTAGTAGCAATGATGTTGCACTGCTTCTGCATTCAGAGCAAAACTGCCACCCTCATGTAGGCTGTGTCTCCTTGTACTACAGTGGGATGAAAACAGTGTGGCAGTGGGCATTGTTAACAGAATGGTCACTGCTGATTGACAAGCCTGCAGGTTGTCTGTCAATCATCACCTGGCCACGCCTAGTCCCGCCCACTGCTTTCTGGACTGACAGAACTGCCTCTGTTGCTGAAACCCTCCCACTGTGAGCTGCAGCATCTGGGACGGGGAGTACATGAGACACAAATAAAAGAGCATTTGGCTCAGTCAGGGAAGATAAAGGAAGTGTTTTGTTTTTTCAATTAAGGAGGCTTGTACATCACCTAGTACCTGAATTTGGAACTTGTTTATATTGCCATATATGAACCCTTTACTAATAGCAAATTTTACCTCGAGGAGGTCCAAGTGTCAGAAGAATGACCATGGCATGAACGACCAGGATGTGCATTGTAGCAGCCTCTCCAGTAACCCAACGCAAGAAAACTTGATCCTGAGACTCAGACTGTAAAAGAAGACACCACAGACATCATGAGAATTGATTTACACTGTGTCTAAAACTCACTGAGAAATAGGGCAGGAATACTGAGTTGGCTATACTTCAACCAATCAGATGTCATACACTTTTTATTTGAATTCATATTTTCTATTCTACATTTGAACCAGTGTGGAACTATGTATAACTGTATCTTGCAACCCAACCCAAGGCACACTCTATGACATGATCTGTAAGAACAGCTTTCCAATAGACACAGCATTCACCCTATGTCTATTATTCCCCAGTGGTCTCTGGGATAAAATGCTTCTGCATATATTCCACATTTTGTAGTAGTTTAGAATACTTGCTTCCCAAGGTTACTCCCACAGGCTCCATCTCTATAGGACTTACAAATGGACGGAGATAACAGGTATTCAGCCCACTTTATGGTTGAATATTTTAGCAGCCAGGGAAGAAGTGAAACAGCAGAGTTTCAAAACATGACCCAGGTGAAAGGTAAGTAAATTGCCTGTTCTATAAAGTGGCACTCCAGAAAAAAAGAACCATGCAGTTCCCAAACTGCAAGGGTTAAATGCTTGTTTTGTCTAGGGAGAACATAAAATTCAACTATAATTACCTTGTTCTTTGAACTTGCAGGACCGGTCCCCCGAAGCAGCTGCTCTGTGGTGGTTGCACACTGACATAACGTACATTGTAGAACAAGCAATTATATACTGGATTCATTTACTTACTGATGGCTCTGAGCATAAGCAGTGGAGATATCAGTGAATCCTATGCACCTTTTCCTGGCCAAAACAAGACGTTCTGGATAAATATCATTATTACAAGGAAGGCCTGTATGTAAATGTCTAACCATTGTGCTTTTAAAGCTTTACAAGCCTTCTGCTTTCTAGGCCTCTTCAACAATCAAGTAAAGGTCTGTCTTGTAAAAATGGCTTAAATGGCTTCACATTTTACAATGGTCAGCTATCTTGTGATATATTCACCCACTACCTTTTCAAAAGTTGAACCTAAACTAGGCACACTTCAAATAAGAGGTCCAAGAAGAGCTACAACACATGGTCACCAATCCAAAGAAAGGATGTCCTTGAGCTGGTGAGAGTTCAGAGAAGGGCAACTAAACTGATTAAGGGGCTGGAGGATCAAAGCTGAAACGAGGTTGCTAAATTTAAACTCGTTTACACTGGAAGTGAGGTGATTAAGAGGGGACATAATTTTAATGTACAAAATGTTTAGTGGTGATGGCAACATCAGCAATAAACTTTTTCCTGTAAACTCCCTAACAAAGACTAGAGGCCACCACCTAAAACTGAGAAAAGATTTATCCACAAAGGGCGTAGGGGCTTCTTCTCAGTGAGATCGGTTATATTTTGAAACTCTCTGCCACAAGCAGTGGTATCTGTAGAGAATATTGATTTATTAAAAAATCAATTAGATACCTTATAAGAGGCCGTAACATACAGGGGTACAGGTACTCTTAAAAACTAAGACCACACAGGGACTCATATACACATGCATGCACTGCACTGCACTGCACTACACTACACACACACACACACACATAAAGGTTGAACTTGATGGACCTGTGTTTTTATTCAACCTCAAATACTATGTAACTATGTAACATGGCGACCAACATACCCAGCTGTACACCTCATCCCCATCTTTGCTCTTTCGCATTCGTCTGACATAGCGTGAGAAGATGGAAAGCAAAGCAGAGAGGACAGCATTGGACTCAGGGCAGTAGGACAGCTTGGAGAAGAGATGACTCATTATGGTAGAGCGTTCCACTGTGAGACGAGCAACATCCTATGAAACAAGAAGAAAACCCATTATGTGTGTGCCTACAATTGACTAGACACAAATCTGTAAACTTCAGGGATGAACAAACTATAAATTAGATAGAGGAGTTTAGGCCTGCAAGCAGATTTAGTACATCTGCATCCCAAGGACAATGAAGCTAAGAGTGAATGTCGTTGGGGACAACATGGTCCATTAAAAAGAAAAACAGTTTCTTACTGGCTTGAACGTAATAATCACGTGCACAATACAATTATTCAAACAACCAATTATTTTAAAATGATGAATTCTGATTGTGTAATATAGTTACCTGCACATTTTGTATATGTGGCTTTATCATAAAGTTCTTATGTGGAAGCAAAGAAGTCCATAGCTACCAATTAGAATCCATCATGTCTCATTTCAGAGTGAATTCTGGGTGGTTGCTACGAGTTAATGCATTTTAGAATAAGAAAAGTTGATAATCTCTTTAGGAATAAGCCTTGCGTTTCCAGTCTCCTATAGATATTTGCTTATATACGAGGTATTTGCTGCCACAATGATTAGAGCACACCTCTTTTCCCATGTATAGTCCCTGTTGGGAGTGATTAATGGAAGCTCTGAGTAAGCTCCAAGCAACTGGGGACTCTTTCCCTGATCCTTATTAAGAGAACTGGGCCAAGCACCAGCAGTGTCACATAAGATAAATAACATTCTCCTCCATTCCTGGAAGTACTGAGTATTTTCTTCACTTCCACCATTTGAATGGAGCAGCGTGGGAAGTAGAGGAAAGTATGTGGTTCTAGGAAGGGGTGCATTAAAGCAAACCAATGGAATTTCCCTTTATGAGCAAAGCACAAGTTCGCTTTCAACATTCTAGCACGTCAATAGATAAATCATCATACCCCAATACCCATTGTACCAATAAAAGTATTGTGTTCATTTAAACTTTTCATAAATGCCAATTTTAAAAATACAAAGAAACATGTATCTACTGTCATCTACTAGTTCACAGCTAGAATCCACAGACTAACAATGATGAAGGCACATATTTTTACTGGAAAATGAATTTACTCTCACCAGGGCAAGTTCATTGTGATGACCCTGATCTTCTACTGGTGCATGCTGGGAAAGGTACACTAGATAGGCACTAATGGTCCTCAAGTCAGTCTCCATATGAATAGCCTGTGAGAAGAACAAATAAAAGTCTTAAGACACCAGAATGACACAAAAAGCAGTATAACTAAAACCTTCAAACGGCTCCTGAAGAGATTACAACAGGAGGCTGAGGCAATGACTGCACATTGTTTAGAAGTTAGACGCTTCCCTTCTCTGATGTTTGAAACTCCAGAAGGAATACTAGAAAATAGCTTTTCCCCCATTTTGTTAAACAACAGGTCCATCAAAAGCTTTTGTATTACACAGGTGTTGGTCTATGTTAAGCTTTCGCATCAGGATCCTGTGACTCTAAAGCTGCAAAAGATTCCAACATCTACGCTAAACTGTGTGGATGATGAGGAATCTCCCACTGGGCAAAGCTTCAGTATCTTGCTAGTCGGCCCCGCTGGCTGTCAAAACACCTGAACAATGCCTGCATCCAATCAGATTGTTCAGGTATTTTGACAGTGGGGCCGAATAGCAGGATACTGAAGCTTGCCCCAGTGGGAGATTCCTCCATCCACACAGTTTAGTGTAGATAGAGGAATCTGTTGCACTTTTTCCACCTGACCATAGAAAACCTGCAGATAATCTATAGGTGTATGGCCAGTTTAAGTAACACCAAACTGAATAAAACAGATGATGTGAACAGTTCACACCTGCTGTAATGATGTAGCAGTAGTCCCCTTAACACTATCAAACAATGGAAGTTTTGGCAAATCTCGAAGCAGCCACTGGTAGCCAGGAATCAGTTCAGAGTCTGTAGAGTCTTCATCCATAGGTTGGTCCTTTTCCTCTCCATCCTGCAGAGCCCCTGCTGTCAGCACCATCGAGAGGCCCTGTGAAAACCAAAATGTTATCAATATCTGAGCTGATATAGACAATTTTCAGTGTTGTGCTAAATATATATATACACAGGTGAAACTCGAATAATTAGAATATGGTGCAAAGTTCATTTATTTCACTAATGCAACTTAAAAGGTGAAACTAATATATGAGATAGACTCATTACATGCAAAGCAAGATAATTCAAGCCGTGAATTGTCATAATTGTGATGATTATGGCTTACAGCTCATGAAAACCCCAAGAACACCAAATCCACAACCTCAAAAAAGTAGATTATTACATGCAATCAATAAAACAAGGATTGTACATAGAACAATATCGGACCTCTGAAAAGTACAAGCATGCATATGTACTCAGTACTTGGTTTGGGCCCCTTTTGCAGCACTTACTGCAATTACTTTTGCACAATATTCTAATTATTCGAGTTTCACCTGTATATAGATGTCTCTTAAAAGTTGTATAGGTTTAAAGTTATTGTAAATCATGCAAACCATGTATGTGCATTTTATGCTCTCTACATTCCATAAAGTGGGTAGAGTTGGACGCATGCCTATATTATATATTGTATTGTACCGTCTTCTCAACATGAAATCATGTATGTATATCCCATGCTATTTTATTTTATTCATATTTATACCATCTAATTAAAATTGAAATCATGTTCTTGTACTGTATATGAATTTGCCTTTCCAAAGTCTATACTCTATTGATTGGTGATATATATATATTCTTTGACACAGTTGCTTAAATCCCATTAATAATGATTGTGGTCTATGTATGCAATAGAAAGATATATACATAAATATATGGTATATGTGTATAATGGGAACCTGCTTGGTGCAAACTATGAGACTGCATCTAGTCTAATATAACTTCAATTTCATTGTATATACTGTGGATAGCACTAATTATCTGCCATGGGAGGATCCATCCTTTGATATGATCGCTTCCTCAGTGTTTTGTTAAATCCCTTTCCTCTTGTTCGTTTATGTTTTTGCGCATGGGAGTCGTGGGTGCGTATTGGATGGCCTGCTTGCCGGGCCTCTTGGACCCTTATGGTCCTGGAGGCTCGGGAGATGCGCGCTTGCATCATCATGTGCACGCGTCTCGGGGCTCTCCCACTTACGCACCGTGCTCCGTGCCGTGGCTCCGCCCCTACGGCGTGCAGCATTCATGGATAGCATATAAATGGCCGCAAATGCTGTCATTTCTTATGCGGCACTCGTGAGGAACACACTAGAAGCTGGCTATATTAGGTAACACATTTGATTTGCAGTTGAAGTCCCATTCTTTCTTTTATAATGGTATTGGAAACAGGCATTCATTTATTTTTTGGCAATTGGGCACCATTGTTATATGTATTTGCACTTTTTGAGTGATATCTTGAGTCTCACCCATGTAATTTTTCGTGGGTGTGCATGTTGCTTAGTGTGCATAGTCAAAAGCAATGCTCATTGAGCAATATGCATAGTTATTATATTGCCATGTACACACGTTTATGAGTATTTTGATAATTGAAGTATTAATTCACAACCTTTTGATTAATTTCACCCGTTTATTATTCAGACATACATACACAATCTCGCACATATTAATTATTATGCTTCACTAGCATTTACTATCACTACCCATCATTATGAATATTATATAAATCAAACTAATATGCTATTTATACCACTACACACAATTTATTCACTTATTATTCTCATTAAATCATTATTTTATTAATCCCTATTTGTGCTTGTTCAATACAAATCTCCTTTTCTGTTGCCCTCGATTGTTATTGCTGCTTTGCTCTCCTGACACGATTCCCATGCGTGGCTACATTTATTCGAATAGAGGGAAAACACACCTGAAAACACTCGGGACCCCTCCCTTTCATGTAGTGGTGTCGACTGACGGTCCTTTTGGACTCCTCCATGTAAGCTTTGCTAATATCCATGATACCATAATGTGTGTCTGTATATGCTTGTTCTATATATGAATGCAGTCTCCAATTTGCCTCACATGGGTTCTCTCTTATTTAGGATATATAAATTCCCCTGAAGAGCCCATTAGGGCGAAACATGTCGGGTTTTATCTGAATGAGTCCTCTATTATGTCCTATTTTAAAAATAATTGTTGACTTGATGTAACACCTATACTGCATGTGAATTAGACCAATTATGTTTCAACTTTATTTATTTATTTCCAATTATGTAATAAATTAATTCATATTTCTATACAATTAGAGAGTTTATAGCATTTCTTAAAAGCCCCTCCCCTTTCGGTAATCGCATACCTTAAGGTGGAATCTACTCCTTGTATTTTTTTTAGTCAATCAATCCCGGGTGTGAAATCTTGCTCTCTTTGTTCCTGTTCTTTATTGCTCTAATACACGCCAACTAAAACTTACTTACAATGCTAAATGCGAATACCTTTGTAGCATGAGATGGAACATTCCAAAATGACACTCACCTTCATGGCCAGGACCCGGGAAGAAACCTGAGGTGAGCTGAGACGTCGAAGGAAATAGTCCAACACCTCACAGGTTGTTTGCTCATCCGCTTTTGGGCCTAAAAGCAAATCCTGAAGCCGGCTGAGAAGTTGCCTCTGTTTTTGCTGCCTCTGCAATAAATCACACTTACGCTTAAATATAGCTCTTAAAAAAATTGAGAGACACCAAAAATGCCCCGCAACTGTGTCTGTAAAAACTGTCTGAACCCTCCCATTGCAAGCCAGATTAAAACCTGCAAAAGAATGACTGCTGGAAAACGAACAATAAAATCTAGAAACTACGGAACACACATTTGTTATTTAAATACACTAAGGCCACCAGGGTGGTTCGGCTGCGAAAGTTTGGCCGCGCGCATCCACCGACATGAATGATCCCATACATTGCTATGGGGACTGTTCATGTGACTGCACAGCTCAGTGCGATCCGAACCGCCCCCTCGCCGCCCGAATTGCTCTCTGACACTTCAGAGCGGTCTCCATACAGTTTTCAATAGAACCGCGCTGTTCAGCACGGTTTTGGGCGTTTTTAATTGTGTTTCAGCGCTGAAACGCAATTAAAAACTCCAAAAACCGCCCTTTTAAAATCAGCACGGAAACCGTGCTGATCCGCAACCGCCCTGGTGTGAAGGGGGCCTTATAGGTGAAACCGTTTCGGCAATCTCCTGTACAAAATATCATAGCTCTGCTACACAGTATATCTATCTGTGATTGCACTACTGCATGGCTGAAAATCTTATATCCAATGTAGGAGAGCAGGGACAGTCCCTTGCCATTCAAATCTATTTTCGACTGCAGAGTGCATTTCATTATTCAGACAAGAACCATACACGAATGTGCATAACTGCCAAAGGATTTAAAACCAGTTTAGTCTGTCTTGCGATCCATGAACTACTACCAGATCTGGACCTCACTGCAGTAAACCGTTACAGCCTGGACTAGTACCCACCCCAGCCTAGGACTGGACAAAGAAAGAGCAGCAGCACACACATTAGGTCATTCGTCTGCCCTCCCCTTCTGCAAGCATGTGCATAATATTAGAATAACAGCACTGTGCACAGTTTAGAGCCTTGATTTGCACCTACCTACTGATGACCCTCTTCTCAGTCTGTATACAGAAGTCTAGGTGTCTACATAGAGTATATAGTGTAGAAAGATGCAATTAAGGTTCTTATACTATTTCTATGTAAAAATGCATTTCTTTGACATAATGCATTTCTAATAAAATACACAACTGGATTAAATGATTTCAGTTTTAATACCAATACACACAATTCCATGTACACTGTGCAATGCATACAGATAATGGCAGTTGGTACAAAATATTTAATGTCATTTGTTAACGTGATAAAATACTCCACCGAGATTAATCGTGGAAATGTCTGATGCACAAACTGCCCAAACCTACCTGGTGTTTTTTAGCTTTTTGCTCCTTGCTCTCATTCTCCTCATCATCTTCACCTGTTCCTGACTCATCAGCAGCATCATGCAGAAGGAACTCACACAGGCACTGCACAGGTAACACATCGATGGACCCTTCACTAGATTGGACCAGGTCTGCCAACCAGGGCATTGACTGAGAAGATGCCTGAAAAAGAAAAGAGTTTCTTCGGTGCTCACCATAAAATCTTTTTTTCATTGACAGATACAACATTACATTATTTTGTGCCTCTCTCTGAATTAGATTTACTTTTCTACCAGGGACTAAGTTTGTCCTGCCAACTGCCAATCCACCATCCAAAGAGCCTGCCTCAGTGGCCAGTAAGGGCAATCTTACTGGACAGTAGGATGGCATTTAGGCTTGAAGTCAGAGAAAATCAACCCCAGTAACTAAATAAAACCAAATCAGATCTGTTATCATGGCTAATAAAAGTAATAGCGCAGTTTTACTTTTAAACTTAGGAAATGGAGGACGAGTTCACTTATGCTGATATGCAAGGTCACAATATCCATGCTGGTGCTGCATGCTACTGAAACAAATGCAAAGCTCCTTAAAAGGAGAACTATGGGGTCAGTGTTTTTCCCCATAGTTCTCCTTAGAAACAGTTCTCGGAATGGGCAGTGCATTTTACATTACTTTAAAAAGTGGCTTAACATGAACCCCTTGTTTCCTAAAAAAAAACAACTCCTGGCATATAAAAAAAATTAACCCTTGCAGTGGGGCTACACCTGCACTGCAAGGGATAAAAGGAGAACTATGGGGTCAGGGCTTTTCCCCATAGTTCTCCTTAGGGTAACGGGTAGACACAAACTAGCGTCCTCCCGTCACCCTAAGCTCAGTATCTCATTGTCACAGGTCGGCTAGAACTATGAGGTGAGTGAAAAGCACTCACCTCATAATTCTCCTATAAGTGCTTGTTTTGGCCTAAGGTCTCGAATAAAAAAAGATATACTCACCTGATTCTGCCTGGCTGCTAGACCGGTCCCTGCAACCTCTTTTTCCCCCGGGCTCTGGTGGTCTTAGGATCTGTGACATCATCAGTCCATTATTGTGCACTGGATGTGA